ACCTAATGGATAGGTTTGAGATGTTAATACCATCACCATCTAAAGGTAGAGATAAAAAATAAAAAATAAAAAATAAATAAAAATGCAAAATGTTCAAAGGTTAGGGACCATTTACGCCAATTTCCCTAAAAGATGGTTATTTCAAAACAGGACCTTTTGCACCGCGAGTCTATAACCAACAAAAAGGGCCATCTACAGATATTCCTCCATTTTAGGGTCTTCTGCAGTCTTACTCCACCAAATACACGCACAAACACACCCTGAGAAGGGTTTTGCATTCTGAAAATTGAACCAATTATTAAAAATGGTGAATTCGCAGCAAGCATCGGGTCGGCCATGGATTCTGGAAATCGTACCTCTGGCGGTCGTTATTCTCATTGTTGCCCACGTCCTTGCTTTGGTTAAAACCCACCTCAACAAATCTGTTGTTATTAAGCAAAATGATTCATAAATTGAAGTTTCTTTCTACATGTTTGTTTGTGTGTGTGCAGGTTTACTGGATTTACAAGCTAGCAACTGAGAAGCAGCCCCCGAGAAGGAAAACGCACTAACCTAGTTCATCAGTTTTTAGTAATAAAAGGTAAAACCCTAGATCGGCTATTTTTTACCGTTTGATTTCTACCATTTGATAAATAGTTTGAAACTTTAACCATATAGTATGTAGCCTGCCTAACCATTAAAATTTTTTTTGACTGTTGATTGGTTGCCTTTTACTTGATTCTCGTTTCTTTATGCTTTATGATTGGCTTGAAATATCAAATTTTGTTAATTCTTTTAACTATTATTTTGTTTTTGCGTGGGGAAAATAGATAAATCAATTGCAAAATGGTATCAAGAATGTTGTATCATTAATGTTGGCATAAGTTTTAGTACGTAGTATTTTCTTCTTGGTTATGTGTTTTTAAATTCACAACGGAACTCGGAATTTCCTTGGATTGGTTATCGACATAACACTAGTACTGCCCAATTCAATTAAGACTCGGTGCCCCACCTTAAATTTAATGGCGAGTTTCATCTAACTGACGTGAATCCTGCCTAAGGTCTCTGTCAATTGCATCCCCAAAACAACGTTGGAGCTTCCGAGCTCGAGTGGAAGAAATCATCAATAAAAGTTTTAAGTTGACAACAAAACCCCCTTACATATCCATTCGCATCTAATAGTCTGACCCGTGCCCATTAGGACTCCATACCTTAGCGTGCGAGGACGAGGAAGACCCAGTTGCTACATCAATTTTACCAAAATGGAGTTATGATTGGCTCCACAATCAATTAAAATCACCACCTTCTTGTACAAAATCTTCCCTTTGAGCTTCATAGTCTCTAGGGCAGACAACCCCACTAGGGAATTAAAGGATGGTTCCATAGAGTTCCCCACAATTTTCGTTTCCTTCCCATCAATTGCCTCTTGATCACCATCGACCCAATTTTGTCAAGAGTCTTCATTGATAGCCAAGACGTGAAGCTCCTTCTGATTACATATGTGCCCAGTCGAGTATTTCTCACTACATCTTAAGCAGAGGTCCTTTCTTGCTTTGTTTGATGCAAAGCTCTGCATCAGCGAGATTCTTGAAGGTTCATTGAAGTTTTGAGTGACGATGCCTTGGTGGAATTGGGGATTTGGGTTTTGCGAGCTAATATCGCTGATTTGGAGGGTGAGAAATGGAAGTTGGTGGGTTTGGGTTCGAGTTGTATGGTGGGTGAGGGTTTTGTCTGTATGGAGTGGAGGGTGCCCCACCACAAATGAGGCCCAACCCATTTTGGGCTTGCATGATAGGAAATTTCGATCTTTGACCCGCTGGGCGGTCTCCATAATTCAGGTCAATCCTTTGGTCCTTAGAATCCTGACTTCAACCCAAATTTCTGGTCTCAATCCATTGATGAAATCACTCTCCAACACCTCCAGCAATTCTTGCAGCAGTGAAGCTAGCACTTGAAATGACTGCCTGTGTTCCTTTATTGTGCCTTCCTGCTTCAAGGCTAGAAACTTCCATCACAGGACCCTTGTTGTGATGGCCAGAATCTCTCTAGCAACGGTGTCTTCAACTCCAACCAACTTCTCATGGTCTGGCAACTTTCCTTCCATTGAAACCATGCTAAGGCCTCTCCATCAAAACATATAGCCGCTGCCTCAAGCTTTTTCTCATCCGACATTGAGTTCACAACGAAGAAATGATCAGCTCTAAATTGTCAACGATTGGTATTCTCACCTTCAAACACCGGCATCTCCAACTTCATCAGTCTTTGCTCAAATCTCCATGGATAGCCTTTACTGCCTCCAGTGCTGCCAATGGAAACATCGAAATTCACTGATTGTGTTGTTGTATGGTTCAACTCTGGTTCCTACTGCTTCCTGCTCTGATTGGATTCCTGTAGGCTCCCATCCCCTAATTTCTGTAACATCAATTCCATCTTCTCCATTATTGAGAGCCTTTCCAATACTATCCCTACATTTTTCTCCTGAGTTTCCTGCTGCTTTAAATCACTACAAACCTCCTCCATTTTCTCCCCCACTGATGTGTTTCGTCAATTGCTTCTTTGCGACAAACTTTCTTCTTCTTCCTTCCTGATTACTCTGATACCAAAATGGATAGATCCCAGAGAATTGATGAATGTATGGCCGCTGTGTTCTATCACAGTGATGTTGATGAATGTAAAACACAAAATAACACTGCAAGTATTAAAAATAGAGAAAAGATTACAATGTTTGATGAACATTTGAAAGGTTCATCTCTTTCGCTCGCTATGCTCTCAATACACGTGAATCAAATAATAACAAAATCCTCTCCCACCCCACCTCTTAAACTAACTAATTATTCTGTCTTAAACTAACTAATGAATCTGGTGACAATTTTCCCCTCCATCCACGTCCACAGCAGCTAAGTCCCAACCACTGCTTGCTTCTTGCCCCCGCAAACATAGGTAAAACAGATGGGGGACCTACAAAAAGTCCCATACCTTCAAAGTTGGGAAACAATGGCGGGCCACTAAGGTTGCCTTGTTACATTCGGATTGAGGGATTTTGTGAACACTACCAAAACCTCATATAGTGTAGTGTATCCTTGTTGCATTTCTAAATTATGTAATGCTAAAGTTTTGGACAGCAGGTTAATTGGAATCGATAATTAATATCACGCTGAAATAATTTTGTGCAAATTATATCAGTTATTATCAATTTTACTCTAGTTAATTATCTTTTTCTACTTATGCTTATCTTGTTTTTTATATATATAGATATAGAAAGTGCACCTGATTTGATCGTAAGAACTAGTTTTTTATTCAATTTCCCTTCATTTTGAATTAAGTACCAAAATGTTTCCTTGGAGAGTAAGATTTGTAATGGAGCCTGACTACTGTTCATATCTGAACAATGGGTGGTTTTTGTCCTTTTACATACCCTTCTAACAATAGAAACTATTTTGTGAACACGGTTATTGAACCTAAACAACAATCAGTAATATACTCAAACTTATATCTATCTGTTTCTGAAATTATTTCATCTTATGGCTTGGTTTCATACAAGGCCATACTGAAGCAGGATAAATGTTCTTAGCAGTTAGCCTATGCACGTCTTTGTTGCTGTGCCTACCATTTGAGCTCCATTGCTGCTGCTGAGTGAGTACATGTAGTTTTTTTTGTTGATAAATGTCAATCATGTCTCGTCTTCTTTTAATTTTCTTGTAGTCATACTGATTATAACAGTGCCATGCTTGCTCTCGATGTGTAATTCAACTTGAAATCATTCTTTTTGGAAAGATCTGGAATAGAACGAATATATGTACAAAATCAAATAAACCAAGTTGAAATCTACATTTCTTCGTTACCATTAGATGATTCATGTTTATCCAATTTCGGGAGTCGTGTCACTTTGTAGCTGAGGCATGTAAATTAATAACTTTGAATGGTACATTTTTAAAAGAATCATTTTTTAAGTAATTACTTTTTCACAAACACTTGGGATTTATTTTACAAAACAAATCGTTAGTACCGAAAGCCCAATTAGTGGGCGAAGTCCAACAAAGGGAAAATTGCAGTGTTTGTCCCAACCTATAGGCATTGTAGCAACTTGATCGTCAACGTATTTTTATTGGCTTTCGTAATCTACCACAAACCTTGATTTTTTAGCACAGTTGGTCCCAACCTGTAGTCAAAGCTCACAATTTTTGAAATAAAATTTATTAAAATGGGAGTAAGACATGCGAGGCACTATAATTAATATAAAATAGAATTATAAAAATAGGAAATAAAAAAGTTATAGAATAAAAAAAGAAGAGAAAAGAATGTAGTCATCTCTACAAAACATCTCAAACACTCAACTTGTTGCTTCTACTCTACTCTTTAACTTCTCCGAATAATGTTATTTATTATTATGGTTTAAAGTGATATGTCCATTAATTGATTGTCCAGTCGAGTTATAATGCATTGTATAAGGTTTTAGGAGTGGCTGCGATTGGATTCTAGCTTGGATAAGGACTCATAATATGCCAAATGGTGAGTAACAAGTGGGTGTAGGATTTGGCGGTGGTGGTTTGAGATACCAACTTGGATAATGGAAATGATGATTTTTTAATTTTTGCATGTTTCTTTGTCATTTTATTAATTTTCACCATAAATAAGGGTTTAGTAAGTCTTTAGTTAAAAGAATTATTTTTTAACATCAAATGAACAAATTTTCCCTAGTGGCGAATGCAACACCAAAACAGATAGGTTCCGTACTCTCCACTGCTGGGAAAATATATTACAGACCAAGATGCATGAATCCAATAGTTTGTGGACCAAAACAGCAATTTTACTATACGACAATGGCACTAAACTATTTTTCCAGAATCCCAATGGCACATGGGTATCGACCTCTTCTTTGGCCCCACCATCGACTCTAATCCCCCACCACCCACCTTGGAGCGGCGTTCCTCCCGAATCCCGACGGAGATACCTCTCTCAGTGTAGAGAGAGAAACAAAAGTCACAGTCTTTTGTACCAGGGAAACACCCAGAAAACCAATAATGTGCCCGATAAAACATAAACAAAAGCACCACCACTGTAGCACCGCCGCAACAGCAACAGCCACCGTGGAAGACTGGAGAGAAGAATCGATAAACGGGGGATCCTTAAAACACGTTGACCTCCAGAATGGATCCAATGGATGGGCCTCGCCACCAGGTGAAGTATTCTCTCTCCGTGGACCCAATTACTTTGCCAAGAAATTCAAAGTGCCGTCCGGTGATTGGATGCTGAACCTTGTTGGAGTTGACTGGCTACGATCCAATTCCAAGCTAAATCACGTTCTTTCCAAGCGCGATAACCGTGTCATGGCTTCTTTGAGAAGCTCGAAAACACCGGAAAAATGGTCCAAAACCTTCATTCTCATGGTAAATTTACAGGTTCCGAGCCGGGATCATCACAGTGAGGTATTTTACTTTTCCAGTAAAGTGGATGAGCCCATTGATCCAAATTCACTACTTTATCAATTCATTCATGGGTCTGATGCATTTAGGGATAGTAGATTCAAGATAGTGAATAAAATAGTGAAGGGACCTTGGCTTGTGAAAACTGCTGGGGAATTATAACGCATGCTTATTGGGTAAAGCTTTAAAATGTTATTACCATAGGGGACCAAATTATTTGGAAATAGATGTTGATATTGGTAGCTCAGCTATTGCCACGGCAATTTTGCACCTCGCTTTGGGATGCGTCCCCGCGGTGACGGTGGACATGGCTTTTCTGGTGGAGTCTCAATCAGAGGAGGAGTTACCCGAGAGATTGTTTGGGGCGGTACGGATTTGTCAAATAGAGATGAGTTCTGCAGCCTTTGTGGATAGTGCCACGCCTTGGAGTAAAGTCTTGCCCATGAATAGTGAAGTGAAAATGAAGATGATTAGAGGGCTTGTTATTAGTCTAATTAGGTAACTTTCTGAAGTTTCATATTGAAAATGGGAAAAAATGATTAGTGAAATTGAAATCCGTTTTCTATGGAGAGTAATGATGTAGATAATAACTGCTAGGTGACACTTTCGAATAATTTTTCTCAACTTTAAAAATAAATTCTTTACTCTCTCTATAGTGTAGAGTTCTAATTGCTGCATAATTTTCTGGTTGCTGTGTAATAAACTGGCAGCGTTGTTCTGGATACGGAATATAATATGTTTATCTTGTTTTTGTTCATAAGACTATGAGGTTACATTGCCATTTAAAGACTAATTGCGAACTCTAATTTTGTTTTCAACAGCCGGTTCTTTCTTTGATGCCCTGATGGGCTGGCGATTTGCTTATGGTACTTAAGTTATATGGAGTTATTAAAAATGTGTCATGGCCTATTTTGTCTTGCTTGTTGTGATGCAACATGCTTTGGTAATAGAAAATGACAAATTGCTGTATTATTTTCATTTTGAGTAAATTTAATCAATCATCACTTAACTTTAAAATTGCTACTACTTACTAAGTTTTAAAAAGTTATTCAACACTCACCCATCTTTTTTTATGGTTACCCATCCACTATTCTTTTAACACGTCTCTCCACATAGACGGAAAATTACACGTGGATAACAAAAATTCTACATGGCATATTGATGGCATTAATTATGTTCAAGTCACCATAATATAAATAAAAATGAATGAAAAAAGGAAAAAAAAAATTTGGTGGAGAGAACTCTTCGTGTTGCACGGAGAGTAAAGAAGAAACTCTCCGTGCTGGAGTAAAGGAGAAACTTTCCACTCCGTGCTAAACGGAGAGTAACTCTCCGTGCTGCATTCGGTAGAAAGAAGTCTCGCTGTATACTTTCTTTCTGCAATTCAAGAAGACCTCCTATTAGAAATTATTGACCAGAATTTGTTAAGACAAGATAAAATTGAACAGCGGAAACGAGTTGCGGAACTTCAGAATGGTGCCTTAACAAAAAACGAGAAGAGAGGCCAAGTATGGAGGAAGTTGCTATGGAGCTTGAAGCACTGAGATTAGTGGAGAACCATCAATGGAGAGATGAAGATTTGAATCACGAAGAAATAATGGAGCATTTATTTAATCATACGGCCGCTTCAAATTTCAATGGTGGATTTCTTTCAAATCATAAACTCTCCGGGAACTACATAGCCAACGAAAAAATTAGAATGTTTACTGCAGAAGAACTACAGAGGGCCACAAATTTACCTGATTATGGGAAGTTTACCTGATTATGAAATTTACCACCAGAATGTTGGGAAATTTACCTGATTATGGGAAGTTTACAAGTGTTTGGAGACGGAAGTGCCTTTACAAGTTCATGAATTCATTACTAACGGGGCCCTTTTCAGCCACATTCACGATCCAATTCTTGCTTCCAATTTTTTGTGGGAAATGAGGATGAAAGTAGCAGCTGATGGGAGTTTAATTCATTACTAACGGGGCCCTTTTCAGCCATATTCACGATCCAATTCTTGCTTCCAATTTTCTGTGGGAAATTAGGATGAAAGTAGCGGCAGATGGGAGTTTAATTCCAAGTCTTCAAGATTTAATGGAGAAAGTTTGCCACATTTGATTACCGTTATCAACTTGTAATTTTTCGTTTAGTTGGAGAGATGGGAGTTAAATGAGTGATGGATGGATAATTATATGTATAGATGAGTGATTATTTGGTAACCCGTTAAAGATGAGTGAGTAAGTAGTAACAATTCTAGAGTTCAATTATGATTCATTAAATTTACTCTATTTTCAGCCTTTCTTGGTTAAGTCTCGTTTGAGCCAAATTATTGTAGAATGAGAATAAAAAATATAGCCGTTATTGGGGTCCACATAAGAGATAGAAAATCTGAATTTAAATGCTGATGTGATGGATAACGGTCATATTTTTCATTTTAATGAGATAATAATGTAGATCAAACCGGGGCTAAATATATGTTAGAAGTTGGGTGATCTTTAATGATTCTATTGTGCAATTAAATTTGCTTTGGTTAATCTTATGTTCAGATTTATGGACGAAACCATAGTAGTCCCTTGTTAGGATCGTCACATTCCTCTGATAACTATTTGGAAGAAAATCTTCTGGTTGCCTGTGAGTAGTGAAAATATGCAATTGGATTGTTGAAAAATTGTTTGCACAATTCACCAATATACTGAATTGCAAGTTTCTCTTGCTTGAAGATGATGAATCATTCTTTAGGAGTGATCTGAATAGCGAGTTTTTGCAAATAAGACGAGAGTATACTTTGTAAATGACCCTAGTTTATGTTAATCGTATTTGATCCTAGGTTGCCTCTTATTGCCAGTCCAAGGAAGTAAGAAATATGGCAATCAATATTCTTATTTTTGATCTTGTGGATGCGGGTTGGATTATTATTCTTTAGTTTTGAATGTATTTCTTTTTGTTTATTTGCCGTTTGAGTTAAGATTGGGATACAGCATTTGATTGTGATGTGTTTTTGTCCACTGCTGTAAGGGATGTTTTAGTTTCAACCAGATAAGGATTTTTATATTCACAAACCTAAAGGCAAGTCATGGCCAAAATGTACTTTAATATACTGTCTTGGAATCAAATTTTGAGTTACAGAAATGAATATGCATTCCTTGCAAGTCTTGTAAATTTTCCTGGTTTATTTAACTTGCGGCTTACTTGTGAGCAATCATAGGGTCGATAAAATGTCATTTGTGATGTGATTGACTACTCATGTTGAGGTACAAGCTGATCACACTGTTCGAAAGAGTCTTCGTGTGGATTCATGTGAATGGAAATCAAATCGATGTTGATGCTATAGTGGTAGTTGTTGATGGTGGAAATGTTATGTCTTTGGTGGAAACTTGATGCTTGAATTAGTGGAAAGGGTACTTTAATTTGTAAATTTTCGTCAACAAAAATGCAGGCTTAGGTCAGTCTGATTATGATAAGACTCCAAAGACGACTTTCATTGCTCCCACATTTTCAATAAGTCAATAGTTGTAAATCCAAGTTAGTCCGCCCCAGGTCCGTCTGGAGAGTGGGTGCTTCTGGCCCATGCCCGTGCTAGGCCTTGTATTTTTCTGCACAGGTCAGTCAGACCTGTGCCGGTCGTGGTGGATCTATAGGAGCCTGTGCAGGGTCACTCCAAATCCGAGCTAAAATTCTGTGAGTTGGCCTGGTTCACATAGGCCAATGTAAAACTAAATTTTAATCTTTAAGCGATGTTTTAATAAATTTTAATCGGATTAATGTGCTAATCTACATAATTGTATTTGGAATTATCGATTTTCTGGCTGCTTAAACAATTGCCTAGAATAATCACAATAAAACATAGTGAGGATAAAGATTAATTTTCGGTCAGTATGAATTGATTAATGTATAATCTGCAAAATAGCTTATTGTTGGTTTTCAACACAATATGGCACAATAGCTTTTCTTGCACAAATTAATTCCCAACTTCCAAGTCAAGATAAGATAAGAAGAATGGTTTACCACCATTGCACTTGGTACTGCAAAACTGTTCGACCGACCTAGCATCTTTGAGACTTAGACATGCTTGGCATACATTATTGAAATCACACAATTTGTTGTACACATGACCCTGAGTCAAGAAATCAAAATTGACTGATCACAAGTCGTGTTTTTTCCCCCTCTATTGCGACTAGGAGAAAATATAATTATGCATGTATCTCAAATGGCGAAGATTGAATCGGACTTTTGATTAATTACGAGGAAGAGCAGCTTTTCTGCTTACAAGCATTACACAAGCTTAAGTTTTCCCTATAAATTTTACCAGCAAATTTCTTTCACTGAATCTTTTAAGTCTAAATTATTGTCACACATTACATGCTTTCTGTAGATGTATATGCACGTGCCCTTTAACATCCACCGGGGCCAAATCCTAGCTTCCCTCCGGCAACATCGTACACCACTTCTATCGTCCTCTGTTGGACATTTCCGAGAATGCCAATATCCGAGGCATCACTGTTTCCTGCAAAAGCCAGACACACGCGGGACGAGTCAACAGCAACAAGTGTTCCCATAGCCACTACATCCACTTTCACATTGCCGTCGAAAGTAAAACCAATCTTTGGAATGGTTATTGTGGTATAATTGCTAAGATCATAGCATGTATCCAATATCGAGAAGGCCGGTGCACTTGGATACTTTGACATCCCTTTCTTGAACTCGGTCCTCAAAGCGCTATAGGCATCAGGGGGGAGTCGAGTTATGACTGTACCAGAGTCTATGATCGTACCTGCAGTCTTGAACACGGATGGACTAATGGACAATTGAGTCGTGCCCACGCTGATTCCTAGAATGTTGATGAAATAGAATGATGTACCTTGCGAGTTAGCAAAAGGGGTAAATTTCACATTGCTTGAAACTCCACTGTTTCCAAATGTCAAGTATCCAGATGAGGAGGAGGATGATGATGGGAGACAGTATGAGAAGTACTTTCCATATTTTTGCTTGGTTTGGGACACAATAGAGAGAGCATCCTGGCCGAGGCCTAGTATGCCGGCCGTTTTGCCAAACAGGCCTTGGTTGTATTGGCCACAGCCATAGTAGAAGTTTGGAACTACATCTGATTGTGATATGGTCAATGTGTCTTGACTAAGGAATCCCACGGTGAAGGATTGGTCACCATATTCTATGGTATACACACATGTTTGGTTAAAGCACCTTGGGGGGTATCCGGTCGCCGAGGAGAGCTGGGAACATTGAGTTGAACTACAAGAGACATTTAAATATGAGGTCGATTCAGTAGGGTTGAAAATTGGATCTTTTTGTGTATAGCAAGAACGAGCACAAGGTTGACATTGAGTCCATGTTAGGTCACTTCCAGTGTCAAAAACCAAGGACAGGGATTTCTTGGGTGTTCCAAGGCTAAGGCGTACAAAGTAATTTCCTGAGCCAAGTGATAGACCAGATTGGGCAGGAATGATCACTTTCTTATCCTCAATTTTGTCATTGTCTACATTCTGATTGATCTTAAAATGGATCGATTCAACCCGGGACTCGTCATGGGAGAGTACCTCATCGAGGGATGGGGTGGCCTTGTCTTGGCTGTGTTTAGAACATGGACCATGCCTGTGGAAAACTTCCAAGGTAGATGGCCTCTTGCTGGGACCTGATCAGTGCATGATTAATTAGGACATAACATATTTGAGCATGTCTCTACCTAATAATATGATATAATTATGCAAATTAAGATCGTATCGATTCTTAGTAATGAAGGACAGAAACTAAGCTGTTCAAACAGGTGTAGGTGTAATACATAGTAGTCGACATAGTATAATAGAAATAGATCTAATTTATGCATAACAGAAAGTGAATTTGCGGTGTAATACACAAAAATTCAGAGACATAACTTACACACACACAGAGCATAATATACACAGCAAATGACAATTGATAGCCACCAATCCACTCGTTTTCTGTTTCTTCTCAACATAAAAGTTAGGTTTACACTCAATACAGCTGTGATGCACTTAACGAATTTCTTCTTTATTTATTGTAATCTTCAATAATCCTACAAGAAATAAATCATTACTAGCTAAAAGCAAGCACAAGAGCTAAATTCTTTGGACTTGTTTGGTAAGGTAGACTCTATAATAGTTAATAACATTAGAAAGAAAAATATGTTTATTGAGCGGTTCGTGAGTGTCGAAACTATAGCCCAGGACAAACACAATTTTAAAAAAGGTTGAACCCCAACCTTGAGAGCCCCCACTGACCCTGCCCTGGGCCATTGTGGAGGAGGTAAATCGCAGGATGTGTCTCCCAGGAGCTAGGGTGAAGAGCTTATGGATAGGCCTTGGGCTATTAACCTCTATGGTAACTCCCGCTTGCAACAAAGCCAATTCCACCTTGCGGGGAATCGAACTCTGCACACTACCGCGCTGAGCCATAACCGTCCTCCCCTTTGCCACTGGGAGATATGCCCTGGGGGCAACAAACACAATTTTTTGTAGAGAGAAGATTGCTTGAAAGAAGGAATAATAAAAGATTTGGATGTCATATTAGAGAGTATTTTTCTTGTACATGGTAAGTTCTATGTATAAAAAACCATGAGAAATTCAGTACAAATACTACTTACATTTTTGGTGTAAATACAATAAAATCATTAATAATCAGATGTGCTTAAAAATTGCATTTTTATTTATATTTTTACTTTAAAAAAAGGTGAGTTTTATTTGTAAGAAAGTAAATTCGCAAAATGAAAAATAAATAACTTGTTTTTAGCATGTGGTATATGAAAAACATAGAAACATAGAATAGATTAAAAGTTTGTTACGATAAACTAACAAGGTAACAATATAGAATACATGAAAGGTCCGTTTGATTGCAAGAAATGAAATTTGAGTGGAAAGAAAACGAATTTCAGGAAATTGAATTGTCCAGAACTTGTTTTATTGGAAATTATCAATTAATTGTGTTTGATTGGTATAATTTTCACGTGAAAAATGTTGAAATTTTTCATTGTTTAGTGTTTGATTGACTTTGTTTTTCATGAAAATTGTATTATGTAGAGTTTTTTTTTGGTTGATTTTGCGACTATTCCAGAAATTGGACGAAGAGGGTGAGAAATGGGAATGGGGGAGTGGCGTGAAAAGAAAGAGAGAGGAAAATGATAGGGATTGACATGAGAAGAAGGAGAAACGGAAAGTATGTATTTGTTTCAATTGCCCAAAAAACAAAAAATCAGCTTACCCATGAGAATTTCAATTCTTTATTTTTGTGGAATAAAGGGTCACATGACCGAAAATGAGAAAAACAATTGCCAAAAAAATATTTCCTAATATTTCCTATCAAACAGGCTATAAGTGAAAAATGGTGGGATAATTTCCATTTTCCATGGAAAATTAGGCCTATCAAACAGGGCTTAAAACAAAAATCGGACGTTCTCCTCGATCTCGCGTACCCTTTACATTTTCTTGATCAGAATCCTCCCGACCAAGGTCCGACCAGACCCACAGTACAAAATTACATAATAAAAAAAAAAAAAACTTGAATTAAAAATACTTAGATTTACTAATGATCGATAAATGAACATGCATGCACAAGAGTAAAGGTAGAGATAATATATAGAATTTGCATGTATAACCTTTGGTAGAGGGGCTGCAGACTGAGGCAGGCAATAGAGAACTGATTTCAACGGTATGATAATGGCTTTCTACGACTTTTCTTCCTTCCACAGCATAGCTTTTAATCGGACAAAATGAGAGAAAAGTGGAAGAAATAAGCAGAAGATTAAAGAGAGGAGGAGAAATGAGAGTGGCCATCAAGCACTCAAACCTTTGGCTTGCAAGTTTACTGCCCGCCTATCATCACATATAAATAGAATTTCAAGCTGCCATGTCACCTAATATGACAAATTGTTTTTCAATTTAAATTATTAAAAAAATTGGTTGATTAATTGTGTAAAATTCTTGGATAAAGCCCCTTGTACACGGATATTGCCAGGATATTTTGCTAGGGGTGAGATGGCAAACTGTGATTGACAGTGTTAAAATTGTTTTTTATCCAACCGTCAATTACAATCTGCTAAGTGTGAACTTCGCAAAATGTTTGGTAAATTTCCCTGACAATAACCCTATTCCTTCATCAGCTTCATGAATAGCGTGGATGAAATGAGCTAGCCTTTCATTTACATACCACCTGGATTATAAAAGGATTTTATAGCTCGTTTACAAGGATTTAAGACTAATATTTCATAGCTACCTGTGTCTATGAAGAACAAGGAAGTAAGAAGGTTCCCCACATGCAATAAGTCGTTATTTAAGTAATGAAAGTGCTAAGCGCGTTAGTTTATGATACATTAGAAGGAGAAGATCACTAAGATTTACGATTTGATTTTGAACTATTTGAATTTCAAAAGCTTGAATTGGTGATTTGGCAAGTAATATTTTGGGATTCACAAAATTATAAATGTTTCTGATCGAATGAAAAACATCGGTTAAAGAGAAGAGACACTTAAAAAAATTGATCATTTGCATGTGTTCAAGCTACCACGTCAAAACGTGCGTAAATCATTTTGCTTGTCAATACAACCACACAATGACTTTTTTTTTGTTAGGTTGGTAAATTTTTCCATTGAGTTATTATTTAATTTTTTTATATTTAATTATTCAAACAAGAATATTTAGCTTCTGTTTGGTGGTAATTATAATGAGATTTTTAGTAGATTTTCGTAAAAGTTGATGAAATCCGTGGTTGAAAAGTTGTGGAACCCATAAAATATTTTGGTAAAATTAATTGTTTACTTGGGAGATGAGTGGACAACCCTTACAAATGACATGGTTCAATACTAATTTAATTTCAACTTTGTATTCCTTACAAACCAAGACTATGACTATCTTTAGTATACAATTGTCTCTTCCTTTTGTACAAAATCCACACCTCCAAAAAAAAAAGACAAAAAAGACTAAACTAAATCCTTCCCAGATTTTTTAATTTTTCTAAATTTTTTTTCTAATGTTTGACTCGACTACAACTTATTAAACATGTCTATTAAGAATAATATTACTTGCAGTCGCTCACTGCAACAGTCGCCCCATGTGGCACTTACATGTCAAATGTGTATTTAATACATTAAATGTGGTAAAAAACTACCACATTAATGTTTCAAATAATTACATGCCATGTGTGTGCCGCATATGGCGACTGTTGTAGTGAGTGACTGTAAGTAGCATTACTCGTCTATTAAACATATAAAATCTACTGTGCACCAGGGTTCCATCTTAAAAAATGCCAACTTTATTAAAATGAGTAATCTAAATCCTTATGCATTGATTTTTATTTTCATATTTAATTGTCATGAAAATTTACTTTCAATTCAAGATAAAATACGATATTTATGTATAATTTTTGTACAAACGAGTCCATACACATGTCCGTGCACAAACATATACGTATAGATTTATTTTATGGTAAAACAACATAGTACGAACTTTGGAGAGGCTCACCACAATATCCCGTAATTTACACCGGGTAGTTTTTGTGACTTTATTATACTCTTTTTGATCATCTTTTCAACTCTCGAGTCCTTTCGAACTCGTAAGACAACGTAAAAGTTCAAAACTACACTTTTTGTGACTTAATTATACTCTTTTTGATCATCTTTTCAACTCTTGAGTCCTTTCAGGCTCGAAGAACAACGTAGAAGTTCAAAACTACACT